TTTGTTAGTTTTTTGGGTGGACACAATATCTTTATTTGTTTATGTGGTTCTGAGGATCAAACCCAGTGCCCCACGCGTGCTGGGCGAGTGCTCTACCTCTGAGCCACAACCCCAGCCCAAGGAAGATCACAAAATTAAAGCCAGCCTTCACAACTTTCACCAGTCTCAAAATAAAAAATAAAAGGGCTCGGGGTGTAGTTCAGTGGTAGTGTACCCTTGGGTTCAATTCTCAGTATCACCAAAAAAAGAAAGAAAAAACCAAAAAGCCAAAGGACATATAAATGGCAAGTAGTGGTGTTCTAGTGGGGACACTTCTAAGGTTTTCTGCCTTCTCTAATCTCCTAGAACTTGAAGAGCAGAGAGGCTTACAACTGTGGGAATGTGGTCCTCAAGTGGAAGCTAGTGCCACCCAGTGTCTGACCTAAATTGTAGCTCTTCATTGCAGTGAATGCCACTGAGGAGAGCTGCCTTGGAGAAGCAGTGAGGGTCCCTACCTTTCACCATTCACATGTCAGTTTTGCTCTAAGGTGGTGCTGCAACTCTTGGTTGTCTGGGTGTTACCCTGGTCATTCATTAGTAGCCACTTTTATCTCAGGGAATGGGTTTCCAGATGTGGGGAGAAGATGTGGAGGGTCCACCATGTTGGAAGGCTTTGCTGAGGATTTTACTCTGACTTCTTAGAGTGAATGTGTATACACATACACATTTAGAAAAATCCAGACTGTTCTCTATTGTCATCAAGCTATCAATTGGGTATGAGATTAGGTGACGTCATAATCTCTGAACATGCTAGCAGGGTACCTCCTGGGTTCTGTTTTGCTGCCACACTAAGGTACTCAAGTGATTTAATTCTCTCTGTTCTTAAATAATGAGGGAGAGTTGCCAACTCCATTGGAGTGGATCAGAAATCCTCTTTGTGTCTCGCCATAGGTATGCTAGAGGTAATGGACCTTTACATGGATTCTAAAGAAGGAAACGTATCCTGTGGTCTCTACAGAGCATGATGCAGCCCTTGCTCTGCCTGCAAATAAATGTTCCATTCTTAATGAAGATTTTTTTTTTTTGGTAAGAATTTTTAGTTTTTTGTTACAGTGGGGACTTATTTTCTATTAGAAAAAGTTACATGAGGCAAAAATAACTTCTTTAGGGTCATAATTTACTATTCCTCTTGAGATGCAAGCAACAGTGGTTCAATTCTTTAAAAAGAGTTTGTTTAACAGGATGGGTACCTTTTAACATTAGACAAAAACCCACCCCAAATATGTCACAAGGAATGCTCTGAGTCAGC